TGCAGGAGAAATGTACTCCTATGTTTGCGAGTTGTGATGTGATCAGTGGTTGTTCATCAGTCATGTAAGCAGGGTTTGCTCTATGTATTCACACGGGTATAATTTGTCCCTCTGGGCACCTGTCAGTCATAGCACTGTGATTAATGTGTCTGTATTTTTCCAGTAGAGGTCACTGTATCATTATCAGAGTGTTCTGACAGATTGCTTGAGCCGGAACAGTTTTAATCAAAAAAACAAAGAAAAATGTGGGACAAATTTCTGATTGTATTCCTTTTAAAGTCAACATGAAGTTCATCCTGTTTATTTTTTTTAATACGCATTCCTTGATTTATAGTGAATGAAAAACTGTCTTTTGTCAAAATGTTATAACTGCTTGATGCCCGCGAATGCATTTACTTCTCATCTGACCGAAAATCACTCTTTTCATTTTACAATGTAACGTCCACTTTTCAAAATCCAATCAATTTTCCATCCTTCACTTGTTAAATATTTATAAAATATGCATTACTTAAAGGAGCAGTTCACTTTTAAAAAAACTTTTGCTGATAATTTACTCACCCCCATGTCATCCAAGATGTCCATGTCTTTCTTTCTTCAGTCGAAAAGAAATTAAGTTTTTTGATGACAATATTCCAGGATTTTCTCCATATAATGGACTTCAATGGGAACCAAACGGTTCAAGGTCCAAATGAGTTTCAGTGCAGCTTCAAAGGGCTTTAAGCGACACCAGACGATGAATAAGGGTCCGAGTCATCACTCGAAAAAAGATTTGTTCATTTTGATGAATGAGTTTGAACAGGAGAGTCACAAACGCTCATCACAGAACAGAGCAAGGCGAGCATTTGTGCTTATAAAACTTAAACATTTTTATTTATTTTTTTAAATGTGCGATCGTTTCACTAGATAAGACCCTTATTCATAGTCTGGTGTTGTTTAAACCCCTTTGAAGCTGCACTGAAACTCTCATTTGGACCTTGAACCGCTTGGTTCCCATTGAAGTCCATTATATGGAGAAAATTCTGGAATGTTTTCATCAAAAACCTTCATTTCTTTTCGACTGAAGAAAGAAAGACGTGGACATCTTGGATGACATGGGGGTGAGTAAATGATCAGCAAAAGTGAACTACTCCTTTAGGTAAAATGGGTTGCAAATGGCATTTCATGTTGACTTTTAAGACAAATTATGCACAGAATCATATCTTTTTTTTTTTTTAATTATAGCATAAGTCTACAAATATGGATACAGTTCTAAGCTGAAAGGTTGAAAATGCAAGTTGTTTAGTTCCCTAGATCTTCAGTAAAATGAAGTCAGAAGTCATCCATAGTAAAGGCTGTAAGATGAATGAGAGGGGTGGTCTGCATGATATTACTATATTTAAATCTATACTTCCATTAGACTTCAGTCGGTCAGAAATTGTCCCATGTATGGCAAGGTGGTGGCAGACCAAATGTGGGACCGTATGGGCATAAGGAAAGATTTCTCAACCTTTCCATAATATCATTTGGTCAGAAAGGACAATTTCTGCGCAGCATGGTGTTAGTGCATCTGGGGAACAGTGAAACGGGTTGGCGTGGAGTGATATCTGACTGACCTATGCAAACATTCTCATCGTCCAGCTCGGAGGAAGCATTCCGGAAGTATCCGAGGCGGCAGTGCTGACAGTTCTGCCCTCTAGTGTTGTGTTTGCAGCTCACACAAGTCACAATGTTGATGAAATCAATGTAACTGCAGCGATTTGAGTGACCATTGCACTCGCAGTCTAATGGAGAGAGAGTAGATAGGTGTTAGTCCGTGGATCAGGGAACGAGGGAGAGGAAGGGAAAGGGACACCAGAAACTCATGGATGAGAGGGCATGGGAATGAGTGACGTGTAGATGCTGAGGAGACCTTAAACTAAAGGTCTATTCAGCTAGCTGGTGAGACTGACACTTATTTAACGCAACCTCAAAAATAATGTGAATTAGATTAAAGCCCTATTAACCAGTTGACCCTTCGCAAAGCCCTACTTAAAACATTACAGTAATCCGACCCTAACAACTGTTCCTTAGAGAAGCCTACGGAAGATGTTCTTGGATAGTTGTGACACAACGCGATTTAAAGGAGTAGTTCACTTTTTAAAAAAACTTTTGCAAAACTCTTGCATCCAAGATGTCCATGTCTTTCTTTCTTCAGTCGAAAAGAAATGAAGGTTTTTGATGAAAACATTCCAGGATTTTTCTCCATATAATGGACTTCAATGGGCACCAAACTGTTCAAGGTCCAAAAGAGAGTTTCAGTAACTTAAACTTTGTTATTTATTTTTTAAATGAGCAATCATTTCGCTTGATAAGACCCTTATTCATCATCTGGAATCGTTTAAAGCCCTTTGAAGCTGCACTGAAAGTGTCTTTTGGACCTTGAACCGTTTGGTTCCCATTGAAGTCCATTATATGGAGAAAAATGCTGGAATGTTTTCATCAAAAACCTTTATTTCTTTTCGACTGAACAACAAGACATGGACATCTTGGATGACATGAGGGTGAGTAAATTATCAGCAAAAGTTTTTTTCAAAAGTGAACTACTCCTTTAACAGATATTTACAAAAGTGTGGGCTGACTAAACTGTGCCACTCAAATTCCCAAACAAACTCGTGTTGCATTTACTTGAATGATATTAACTGACATATTGATATACTTTATAGAGTTGACAGTTTCACAGTATGTCGAAACATTGCGTTCACTTGTGCTAATCTTATCACTTGTAATCACTCCTGAATAAGGCTTTTCTCTATTTATTTGACTGTTACAAGCATTTGATTCTGATTCACTCTTCTCAGCTTTTCATTATGTTACTGTGTAGTTTAACAACCTTCTTAAATCTGATAATAAAAATGTTTTGCTGTCCCATAATTCATTCCACCCCACCTAGGAATAACATAATTGTTTGCCACTTTGTAGACTAATTACACTGAAAATGAAACTGTTCATGGCAATCTCCAGATCATTCCTAAGAGACGCACTGTAAAACTTGTCCGAGTCAGCAACAGTAAACTACTAATGTGGCCGGAGCTTAGCGAAGGGTCAACTGTGGATCAAACATGCATAGCAGTGACTGCTTTCCTTATAGCCTCGTTTTTACTTTTTAAATTCTGTTTATGCTTTGGTATTTTATGTACAACTGTAATTATTTATGTATTCTAAAGTATTTGATTTCAATTAATTTATAAGTGTTTTAAAATATATTGTGGCACATTTCCAGTTTCATGTGATTTAAAGTTGAAGGATTAGTTCACTTTAAAAAAAAAACTTTTGGTGATAATTTACTCACCCCCATGTCATCCAAGATGTCCATGTCTTTCTGTCTTCAGTCAAAAAGAAATTAAGGTTTTTGATGAAAAGATTCCAGGATTTTCTCCATACAATGGACTTCAATGGGAACCAAATGGTTCAAGGTCCAATTGAGAGTTTCAGTGCAGCTTCAAAGCGCTTTAAACGACACCCGACGATGAATAAGGGTCTTATCTAGAGAAACGATCGCTCATTTAAAAAATAAACAATTTAAGTTTTTAAGTTTTATAAGCACAAATGCTCGCCTTGCTCTGTTCTGTGATGAGCGTTCGTGACTCTCCCGTTCGAACTTGTTCATCAAAATGCACAAATCTTTTTTCAAATTTTTCATTTCGTTTGTTGAATGAACCAAATGACTCGAAAAAAGATTCGTTCATTTTGATGAACGAGTTCGAACAGGCGAGAGCAAGAACAGAGCAAGGCAAGCATTCGTGCTTATAAAACTTAAACTTTTTAATTTATTTTTGAAATGACCGATCGTTTCGCTAGATAAGATCCTTAATCATCGTCTGGTGTCGTTTAAAGCCCTTTGAAGCTGCACTGAAACTCATTTGGTTCCCAATGAAGTCCATTATATGGAGAAAATCCTGGAATGTTTTCATCAAAAACCTTAATTTCTTTTCAACTGAAGAAAGAAACACATGGACATCTTGGATGACATGGGGATGAGTAAATTATCAGCAAAAGTTTTTTTTAAAGTGAACTACTCCTTTAAAGTTAAATAGTAAATATTTCTTCTGTGGGTCTATTAACCGTAACTACAGTAGTGTCTAGTTTAACTGTATAATCACCCATTACCTTTTTGGTGAGGCTCAATATTCAGATATATAAAATAAAATACAAATTGTGCTGAATTTGTTTCTCGGTAGATTCCATCTTAAAGATTTTTTGATGTGTTTTTTACATAACAGTAGTTTAGACCCAAACAGACTGACTAAACAGGACGTTATAGAGTTAATGAATCCACCAGTAAGGCTTGATTAGCATAGTTTAAGCAGACTGATAAACATTGATAATGAGCTGTAGTGTTTGAGAAGCTGTTCTTTTTCGATTCTTTGCTGTTTAAACACTTGGGCCTTTGAATAATTGATATGATGTTTTAAAGATGCTGGCGACGTGGGGTCCTGCTGTGTCACAGTCAGCCAAGCAGTGGGATGGGGGGCAAGAGCAGCTAATTAAATATAAATGCTCAATTACTCCCCAGATTGGTGAAGGGATGGAGCGATGTTTCACAAACGATCTTGCATCTTCAGCAGACAGCTGTCTAACACTCCAAGAGTGAAAATGCAAAGTAGCTAGTTTCTAGAAGAGGACGCTTTTGATTATACAGCCTGGGGGAGATCTATCTGTTTTCTAGCAAACACAATACATCATGAGCGGCTTACCTTATGAAACAAAGCAAAAAACAAAACATGTGAGCACAAAGAAAGAGCGACATGGAAGAGAGGAAATGAATAACATTTAGGCAGCAATTTTTCCACAGTTTCCATATTAGTGTCTGTCCACATTCTAGAAAACAGAAATCAAAACTGAATCATCCTTTGATAAGCATTGCCTAGAGGAGCGCTAATGCATATAAATAGATCATTCACGTAAAATGTCATTGAAACCCTGACAACAACGTCTTTTTTTTTTTTTTTTTGCTGTCTTGATTTAAAGCATCGCCTTACCTTGAAATCGGATGTACGCTATCCTTGACAACTGCGTTTTTGGCCCTCCGGGGATCAAAATCCTTGCAACAACTTTGGAATAAAAGCAACGTTATACGCTCTTTGTTGGCTAACACTGCTGCAACTATTGGGACAAATCACTCAAGAAATGTGGAACCAGATACACTGAAATGATGCTAGTGTTTGTTATCTAAGAAAACACAACAGCCTAAAACTAGAGAAAACTAGGGTTTAAAGTGTCTTTCTGTGGATCTAATGGCTGCTAAACCAATACAGTACAAGCTGTAAATGTTCTTCACTAACAGAGACTCCATCTCATCCACAGCACCTGTATAGGTACCATGCAGTCAAGCAGAAATGCATTTTCAGACTGCAGTCATTAAATGCTGTGCCAGATGAGTGCAGTATCTGTATCTGTAACTACAAACGATGCATACCTTTTTTCTCATACTCTTTCTTTTCAAACTCTTTTTCTTTCTTTTTCTCCTTCTCTTTCTTTTTCTCTTTGGCTTCCCTGCTTTTTTCGGTTTCCTCAGCCTTGTTGTTCCTCTTAATGTCTGCAGATACGGTTTACACCAGAGAAATCATGAGCGTTTGAAGAAGAACTCGTCAGTCATCACATATCATTGTTTTCTATTTCATTTTATTCATCGTTTAAATATGATAAGCATACATTTGTTTTATAAAGACAAAGCATTTTAATATTTAAAGGTTGGTGTGTGTGATTGATGGGTGTCTTCAAAAGATTATTTAAAAAAAGGTTTGGGGTAAGTAAGATCTTTTTCTTTTCTTTTTTTTAAGTTATTTACTCAGCAGGTATGCATTAAAGTAGTTCACTTTAAAAAAAAACTTTTGCTGATAATTTACTCACCCCCATGTCATCCAAGATGTCCAAAAGAAATTAAGGTTTTTGATTAAAACATTCCAGGATTTTCTATATATAATGGACTTCAATGGGAACCAAACGGTTCAAGGTCCAAAAGACAGTTTCAGTGCAAACCTCAAACTGTTCAAAGGGCTTTAACGATTCCAGACGATGAGGTCTTATCAACCGAAACGATCGCTCATTTAAAAAAAAAAGTTTTATAAGCTCAAATGGTCGCCTTGCTCTGTTCTGTGATGCACGTTCGTTTATCAAAATGAACGAATCTTTTTTCGTGTCATTTTGTTCATTCAATGAACGAAATGAACAAGCTGACTCGGGAAAAGATTCATTAATTTTGATGAACGAGTTCGAACCTTTTTCCGTGTCATTTGGTTCATTCAACGAACTAAATGAACAAGCTGACTCGGGAAAAGATTCATTCATTTTGATGAACGAGTTCGAACAGGAGAGTCACGAACGTGCATCACAGAACAGAGCAAGGCGACCATTTGTGCTTATAAAACTTAAACTTTGTCCTTTTTTTTTTAAATGAGCGAACGTTTCGCTTGATAAGACCCTTATTCTTCATCTGGAATCGTTTAAAGCCCTTTGGACAGTTTGTACTGAAAGTGTCTTTTGGACCTTGAACCGTTTGGTTCCCATTGAAGTCCATTATATGGAGAAAAATCTTGGAATGTTTTCATCAAAAACCTTAATTTCTTTTCGACTGAAGAAAGAAAGACATGGACATCTTGGATGACATGGGGGTGAGTAAATTATCAGCAAAAGTTTTTATTTTAAAAGTGAACTACTCCTTTAAATACATTTTAAAAAATAGTAAAATAGAAAAGTTATTTTAAATTGTAAAAATACGTGTAATTTCAATATATTTCTGTTATTACTGTATTCAAAACATTAAAATAAACACAGCCTTGGTGAGCTTTAGAGATTTCTTTTTAAAAACATAAAAATTCTTATCGACCCCAAACTTTTGAATGTTTCAGACACCACAAAAGTTTGACAAAAAGCATATATGATGCCAAATAGAAAAGTTGAATACAGGATCAGTATTCGACAAAACACATATACTGTCAGTCTTTATTACTCTATATAAAACTATTTTGTTTAAAAAGTATTTTGAGGGATACAGTTCTATCATCATTTACTCATCCTCTTGTCAATCAGAACTCGTATATGACTTCCTTTCTTCATTGGAAAAGGAATCTTTTTCTTTCTTTATAGAATATTCACCAAAATGATTTTTTTCCATATAATGAAAGGGAATTGTGAGTGAGGCTGTCATTTTGCCTAACATCACCTATTGTGTTTCAAAGAAAGTAAGTCATACAAGTTTTGAACAAGATGAGGGTGAGTAAATGATGACAGAATTTTCATTTATTATTCCTTTGGCTAACTCTTCTGAAGGCAATTTGGGTTGTGTAACAGACTTCAACAGATTGTGCCTCAAAAATGACCTTTTGAAGCTCATTTAAAAGTGTATGGTAGCGGGAAATATACTTGAGATGTCAGAATTGCTGTGGGTACCTGGGGCTTCTGCATCTTTATCTTTCTTCTCTAGGTTTGTTTCTGTTTTCTCAGCAAGAGGAACTCTACTGTTTTCTCCTACTTCAGATGAAGGTTTACTGGCAGGAGCATTTTTATCTTCCTTCTCCAAATTTGTGGCTGTTTTTTCCTCTTTGGTCTCAATGAGAGGAACCTCACTGTTTTCTCCTGCTTCAGATGGAGGTTTGCTGTCAAGAGCATCTTTATCTTTTTTTCCCATGTTTGTTGCCGTTTTTTCCTCCTTGGTCTCAACGAGAGGAACTTCACTGTTTTCTCCTACTTCAGATGGAGGTTTGCGGTCAGAAGCATCTTTATCTTTATTTCCCATGTTTGTTGCTGTTTTTTCCTCATTGGTCTCAATGAGAGGAACTTCACTGTTCTTTGCATCTTTGGAAGGAGGTTTACTGTCAATCTCAACATCAGGTTGAGGAGTACCATCAAGAACTGGAGCTTGCAGAGGGTCACCTGTCAGAAGAGGTGTGGCGATTGTAGGTGGGAGTATGTTGGTGGTGACTGTTTCTGCAACATTAGTACCATCACCTGGACCCTTAGGAGCTGGTTTGATATCATCTGACACATCGGTAGCTTTTGCAAACTCCTCATCGGATGCAGGAGCCACCGCAACAGTCGTAAGAGCATCTGTATCAGTTGTAGGGGCAATGAAACCAATCTCTGGTGCAACCATGTCAGGAGGAGCATCAACATCAGATGCAGAAGTTACAGAAACATCAGATGTTGGGACAATCAAATCAACCCCTGGAGAGAGTGCATCAGTTGAGGATGCAACAGTACTTGTAACCAAGTTTACCACAGTATTTGCTGCAACCACTTCTGAAGAAACATCAGAAACGGGTGCCAGAGAGGCTGGCAGTTGAATGGTGCTAGCTGATACTGAAGGTGTTTTTTCAGAGGTTGCCATGGTTGCAGAAGGTGTTGTTGCCACGGTTGCAGAAGATATTGCTTTGGTGACCATATAAAGTGTTGTTGCAATGCCGTCAGAGGATGAGGCAAATACATCAGTGACCTCGGGAAGAACAGATAGTGGATTTACAAAGCCAGTTGTTGCGGTGAGGGTGTCGGGTGTCACATCGGGTACCACATCTGGTGCTGCAGAAACAGAGCATAAAGAGTCATGTATCTGAACTGTTCAGTCAAAAGCCGTAAAGATGCCATTACATACTGTACATAATGGATGTTATTGCAGCAATTCAACCTTTCGTCATTTCCAGTTCAGCAGAAACGAGATACACAAGCCCTGATAGAATCACTTCCCCCTGCTCGTGCCCCTGTCCAACTCTTCAAGGACAGGACTCGTTGCACTTTCCTGTTATGGTTTCATGTATCTATCTCTCTCTCCATAAGTTCAATAAATTGGCCGCTTTTTGGTCTTCCTTACCATGACCTGGTCTCTTTTCTCTCATGAAATATTTAGCAGCTGTTCATTCAATCGCTATTCAGAAATAGATCTGAAAGAATTGAGCTCCGGCCTTCAGCTGAGCACCGACCGCCACGCCATGTGCTCTCGAAAGTGATTGTGTTTCACAATAACAGAGTATTTAATGATTTATCTCCTGAGGCTGGGCTTGCCATTTGATTTATTTTTAGTTACAGCTTCAGCACCGTTGAAGGCGGACGCTGCACACACCTGGTGCGAGAGGCAGAAATGGTGGGATAGGTGAGGTGGAGGCATTTTGTTTTGATTGCACAAAGAAAGCAAAAAAAAAAAAAATCACAAATGTTTCGCAGTCACCAAAACTGAACACCTGCTGTTTAGCACGTCCAAATGGAAAATCGACCTCCCTGTTAAATGCAATAAAATGAGCCTATACACAAATAAACATTTTTTTGTTTACTTTTCACAAAAAAATATGTTTCAAAATATACAACTTTTAAAAATATATAAATTACTAAATCTTCAATTTTAGGTATTGAGTAGGCTCTTTGAAAGCATGTAAAGATTCAAAGCGCCTTCTAATAGAATAACTATAATGTATGCATTCTCACATCCAGGAGGGCAAAAGAACAAGACTCAAAGTATGGCTTTAAACGTGGTCCCTGTTGAATATTTCACATCTTAATTAGTAACACAAGGGAGACAGAATAAATGAAGAAGGTCTCACCTACATGTAAATAGATAGACACACGCTCGCATATATTATGGCTCATATCAAGGTTAAAATATCTATCCGAACAGAGTCCTGATGGACTTACTCCTTAAAAATCAAAACTTTAACACTGGAAGACATTTGAAAAAAAAAAAAAAAGGTTATTTATGTATTATTGTCTTGTGCAAACTTGTCAACAAATTGTGAAATCTACAGGACTTTCACTTACCTGGCCGGTCAGGTGCCGTGGGTCCGACTGTGAGTGTTGGACTAGACAGAGATGGCGTCGTAGTTAAAGACGAGGTGTCGGTCTGGCTCGAGACGGTAGCAGCTGGCATTGTGGGCAGAAAGCTTGTCACAAGCAGCACTTGGGACAGTCGAATCACAGTGTTGAGTTGAGAGCCGGGAGAGTAAGTAAAGAGGGCCAGATACCTCCTACTGTTAACACCTCTATTTTTAATTTAGCTTTGGAAAACATACTTGTACTTATGCAAAAGAATACAAAGCCTATAAAAATTACAAGTGGGTGATGTAGTGTACATCTAGCTACCTTTGGTTGTATAATTTTCTAAAAATCCTAAAGTTGCTCCGTTCCTAAATGGCTCCTAAATGGCTCCTAAATCCTAAATGGCTCAGTTTTTAGTTCAGAGTGATTTTTCAGTTTTAATAAATTTGTTATTTTGCTATTACTGATTTTATTGTCATACATTATTATATATTTTTCATTGACTAGTATAAATCCAACCACAAAGCTAAATATGGGTGTGTTCACACTTGGCAGGTTTGGTTCCATTCAAATGAATGGTGCAGTTGCTCTGTTAGTGCGCTTGCTTTAAATATGTGAACATTGCCGTCCCAACTCTGTAACCTCTGAAGAGTTGGTCTCAGTATACTCCACTGGTGCGACTGAAATATGTACGCAACACAGACCAAAGACATCTAAACTAACCAAAACGATGCGTCAAGTTTTCAGCTGGTAAAAATGCCATCATATGTATGCACATACAACGAGGGCATTTAGTCCAACACACAGTGTTGTTTTGGATGTTCGATAAGTTCCGTTGCAAGCCATAAAAAGCTGTGTTTTGTTTTGTACCTTTAGGTTAAAGGGATACTTCAGGATTTAGCATTTAGCTTTGTATTAATACAATCAATTACCATAATTAAAAAATTACCATACTTTACACCCTCATATCCCCCTGAGACGAGAGATTTATGTATTTTTTTGTCTGGAAAAATCCTCCGATGATACAAAAATGGTCATTTTCCATCATTGGAGGATTTTTCTTGCCAAAGCTAAAGACTACAGTCAGCAGTAGAGGCTGTCCCGCATGTTCTCAACCCGCCCATAGAGGGTGGGATCTCACTCACAGAATGAACACATAGTGTCGGCCATCTTTTTTTGGAAGCTAAGCTAGCAGGCTCTTGTTCTGTGGAGAAAGCTGAGTAGTAGGGGTTACCATCCTCTTTTTCCCAGACATGTACGGCCGTTGATGTTCGGGATTCAACTTTTGCTTTCTGTAGTCGCCATTCATTGTTTACATGCACAGCTTTTGTTTCAATCTAACTGAATTGATTCTGATTGGTGAATCTGAATGTAGTGCTTACATGAACGCTAAACAAGTGATCGGTTGATGTGTGTTTTAACATTGCTAAGAAAATTCCCGCTCCTCCGTGAGAGATACGAGACCGGTGCGTCTCACAGGTGTCGCTCATTGGTAATCACGCCACCAGCCTCCCGCCGTTCTCCCGCGGCCCTCACTCGTCCCGCTCGCCACAGTAAACATGATAAATGGCGACTGTAGAACGCAAAAGCCGAATCCCGGACATTTTGGGCGATCTCGAAACACATTTTGGGGCAGATTCATCACAGAGACTCGCTAGACTTGTTGTTTAACTACAGCGCTCTGTTACTGGTAGGCGTGGCCTCCTAGGGCAGCGAAGCAAGTGCATTCTGGGAGTTGTTGTCTTTCATCCACAAAAGCCAAAAATACATTTTCTGGATTTTCTCAGTCAAGAAAACTAATTTCACATGTCTTCTACATAAATGACCCATTTTAAATAGGCATTAATCTTTCCAGAGATGAAGTATCTCTTTAAGTCTTAAAAATGACAGTGTGAACACTAAAGCGAATCAGGCAATGTATCATTTTCTTTTTTGGTCAGGACCAAAAGAACCAAGAGAACTGAAATACAAGTGTGAACACACCATTAAACACCACAACCAAGCAATGCTTGATATTAAAGACACACTATTGTTAATCTACTACTAAACAGCTACGAAAAGAAACTTTAAAGTCAACATGAAATGAAAATCAACCATATTTACTTTAAGATACTTATTGTAAGTACTTCACAGTTCAAACGTTTGTCTGGTCCACCTTTCACAATCCAATTAATTCCCGACCTTTCTCCTCCATTTGAACATGCCGTTACCTCGAGAATCGCATCATATTGTGAAATGGGCTGTTAATGGCATTTCATGTTGACTTTCATGCAAAACGGAGCTAAGTGCACGTCTATTAAACAAGGCTTCATAATTCGAGACAGTGTCTATACAGCAGAAGAAACTGCTCAAATATGCTAATGTAGTCTCTGCATGTGTCACCTGGTGCATTGGTGAGGGATTCAGGGATCACTGAGCCGCCTGTTGGAGCAGGAGGAGAAGTCGATGTGTCACTGGAGGTGGCCGTGTCTAGTCAGCAGACAGAAAGATGAGCTTGCCAGTACAGGGATCAAATACCACGACAGTATTGCCCATCAGAGCCTAAATCAGCCTGATCTCAGCTATTCGCTGACCACAAATAAAGGGCACCGCTACAGGCACTTAACTGCAGCCCACAGCACTAAAAGGGACAAGCAGGGGGACTCACACGCTTTTGATGATGTATGGATTTACCCATGACATCAGTCGATCATATACACTCTGTCATGTCCATATACTGCAATACTATATCTTTACGCAGTGATTGTTTCAGGTAGCATGATACTGTTTGAATGCCATTTTATATACCATGGTACTTTCAACAATACTTTGGTATCTCCATCATGGTCAGTTCACACATACATTTTTATTCACTCATTAATTTTTATCCGTCATTATTGGACATTTGATTGTGCATGCTCATTTTAATCGTTTGATTCTGTGAATGTAAAGAACAAAAAAAAAAAAAAATGTAGTATTGTTATTATATACTGTATGCATATATATATATATTGCATTTACGTTAATACATCGGTCTTCATTATCAAAAATATTTTGATCTGTTTTAATGTTGAATATGTGCACATACTGTACCAACTTGAGCATGAGCTCATGTGTGAGGTTTTGGTTGAACACGGGCAATGCTAATCATCTGTCTATGCCAGTATTTACAGTACTGTACATCAAACATGGATCGTGGCATTCGGCGTCTCATGCATGTTAGTCTGTTTGCTGTCTCAATAGGAGCAGGTGTCTTCCCTCTGGAAGAGGAATGACCATGTCAGCTCACACTGTGCCGGTGCTGATGGGAGCTTTGGGATTCAGCGTGGGCAGCCCACAGCGAGCACCGCAGCAGGCCGATACTTCCTGCTCTCAGGCATGCTGATGTTTTATTAAGGTTGCGTCCCTCCCCAGTGTTTCATAATTAAAGCATGGCTGAAGACACTGTTCCCTAATTCCATGGGTTTATTGTATTTATACGGTTTGCAAATGAAAAATGGGCCATATTACTGATAGATGTTTTATTTAGTGTTGCGTCTCTGAGTGGCGTGGATGAAAATAATTTATATCTCAGGCTCTGGGTAATAATTCAGTGACAGATTCACACAGGGTTTCGTGTTCTATGAGATCGGTGTTGCATTTTGGCAATTATACAAACTGTTTTATGGTTTTAAAGTGAACATATTATGGAAAATAGGGTTTCCTTTCTGTTTGGAATAAAAGACTTTGATGCACTATGTTCTCTATAATACTCTCACTATGTAATGCAAAACTTCCTTCTATAGGGATATTTATGGAAAGTCATGGTGTTGATGTCAGAACCAGCGAGAGAGTCACACAGTCATACAGGAACAACGTGAGGGTGAGTGAAGGATTTTTATTTTGGGGTGAACTATCTCTTTAGCATGTTGTTGGTTATTCATGATGTCGCACTAGTTTTCAGTTATTTTCAGTTACGTTCAGTTCATTTCACAAACAAAGAGTTTGGAAAATCATAATAAAGACAATTTACAGGACATACACTTGACTGTTCAAAAGTCAGGGGTCAATATAGATTTAAAAATAAAATGTATTTTTTTTTTTTAAAGAAGACTCTTAAGCTCATACAGGCTACATTTATTTGATCTAAAATACAGTAAAACTCTAATATTCTTACAGTATAAAATAATAATTTTCTATTTTAATAATTTTGAAAGTGTAATGTATTCCTGATGTCAAAGCTGAATTTTCAGCATCATTACTCCAGTCTTCAGTGTCACATGATCCTTCAGAAATCATTCGAATATGATGATTTGCTGCTCAAGAAATATTTCTTCATGTTGAAAACATGTGTGCTGCGTAATAATTTTCTGGAAACTGTCATACAATTTTTCAGGATTCTTTGATTAATAAAAAAACTTTTTTACATTATAAAGGCCACTTCACACCAAAGGGCATAGTGTACGTTTAATGATAGAGATAAAGTCCACACCATAATTGTAACGATAACAGCACAAAGGAACAATATTGTTATTTTCAGTTTCAAAAAATCAATTAAAATAATTCCAACTGATGAACGACATGAAAAATATTGACAGCAAATCAAAATCCCCGGCTTTATTGTCTGTTGCCGTGGATGCTAATATACTGTATATTATAGCTGTTTTTTTATCGTTCTTGGCGTGAACCCTTAAATGTCTTTAGTATTACTTTTGATCAATTTTTAACAGTTGTGAATAGGGATCTAAAACTGTTTCTGGATAAAAAATAAAATTTAAAAAAAAGTAATAGAGCTGTCAATCAAATTACCTATGATATGATATCAAATATTTCACAATGAATCTCATACACAAGTATTTGACGAGAAAAATTTTAGACATTTCATTATTGTGGCAAATGTGTAAAATCCTTGAATAAACAAAGAGAGTTTTAGGAGTCATTTACGATGACGATTGTCAAGCATGTCCATTCACACAGAATGATCAGTGGAGAGGTATTATCATCCAGTGGCCATCATAACACTAATGGAATTAGCCTCTCGCAGTACAGTCATGCTTTTTGGACAAAGAGTGCATGTGTGCCTGTGTGTGAGAGAGCGAGGAGCTCCGTTCAGGGCCAATGAACAGGGAACGGGAAACAGGAGGGCAGGCATATGGCCACGGGGGGTTAACGTGAGAGCTGGAGCACGGGCAGATTTCTCGCCTTCACCCCCACCTGCCATCTGCCACCGAACCGGACCACGACCACAAGAGCAGGGCAGGCAGAGACCGCTCTCCTTCTCTGACCACATTAGGCCGAGAGAGAGAAACAAAGAAATAGCATTTGTTTGAAAGAGAAAAAAAGAGACATTTGCAATCTTGTGAAATAATGGCTCTCTTCCAAAATCTAGTAAGCTGAGTATTTAAGGCAGCATGCGTGCGCTCCTGCTGTTCCACAAGGTAAGCATGATTGTGTGCTGCCTTCTATGAAACAGATTCTAAGGCAGTGTGTCAAAGGAAGCAATGCCAAAATGCATTGTGACGATTTATCCAAGATGGTGTAAAAAATGTGTGAGAGATGTTGATTATAGACTTAGATACCATTTATTTAACCCTCTAAGACCGACGGGAGCGCTCCGGTTTGCGTGTGTCTGTTTTAGAGCCTTTAGAAACTGAAACCAAATGGCTAGCTCAATCATTCTCTTTGCATACAAAACCAGAGATGTAACATGTTCAGATCAAGCCTCCAACATGCTCATGTTGCGTTGTTTTCACCCTCTAATGTGTCTGTACAAGTTGCGTAATATGCGTTTACCAAAAAAAAAGACAGAAATGCATTGCACATCTTTGCACACGTTCTGTAGAACTGTGATTGATAGTTACGTCTTCCGATGGCTCATTGACATATCACGTTCTACAGAAATTTAATAAGTCTTCCCTATATTTTAAGCACTTTATTTTGGAACTTAATTTGCTTCTTAAATCACACGAACTTGTGAAGAACAAGAAGAACAGAAAACTTGTTTCTCAATATTTTGACCTATTCCCCAATTCCTCTTAACATCCTTATTATTTTTCCTCTTTCATTTACTATGTATGTATGTATGTATGTTTCTTTTTGTTGTTACCATTTTTTTTTTTTTGTATTTGTTTTGTTTTTGTTTTTTTCTTGCTTCTGTTTTTGGTATGGTTTTGTCTGTACAAACGCTTGATTGTATATTGATGTTCTTCTTGTTTGTACTAGTTATTGTTATCAATAAAAAAAAATTAAATAAAAAAAAACGTTCTGTGCACTACGTGTCGCATATTATGACGTCAAAAGCTGCGTCATGCGTTTGACTCCCATTTGACTCCCATCTGCTATATGTTCCTTCTTATCGTTATTGTCTTTTTACCATTGCTTCATTCTATAATTTTTTCCTCGTTTATACACTCGCAAATACAAGCACATTCACGCACACACAACGTTGTCTAAACGAAAGTACACGGACGCGCTGAACTCTCCGTCTGCTCATCGGCTTTATATATTTATTTTATTATTAATTGTTCTGACAAGGTCTATTTATTTTATATTCTAACCAATTCAATGTTCAATCAATATCCAAAAGCAAAACGTTATCTGTTTGACCACAAATGTAATGAATATTTTACATGGCATTTTTACTGCGTGTAAAAATGAGTGTAGCCTATCTTAAAAAACGAATTTATGTAAACAGTTCAAATCAATTCTGTATAGTTTTAAATTGTTTATGCACATTTTTCACATGACTAGGTCGAGGTTGACATTTTTTTTTTGTATTGAATAAAATATGTAGAATTTTTTTAAATTGTTTTTTCTTTTTGTTTAGTGCACTTTTGAGATATTCATCTAGCTACTATTGATTTAATACAAACATAGCCTTCAAATTGGGAGAGTAAGGATTATTTTGAAGCATGGCATATGAAAACGCTCAAAAGAATGACTAAAAAATGGCTAAAAAGTTACATTTATTTACCTATTACTCAAGAGTAAAATATGATATTTATTTTTATGCTTGTTAGAGTTTCTTTACCAAAAGCGAGTTCCCTCTTTAGAACCTTCCTCTGGCAACTCTTTTCTAGTTGACAAGTGTACAAGTCCAGCTCCTATCTACTTAAACGCTGTTTGTATATATGACCTATTAAGTCGCAGCCTATTATGAGCTTCCATTTCAATTAACATGCTGTCTTAGAAGACAGGCGCCTATGTAGACAGCAAGAAAGTTCACTTGGTTTTGGAACAGAGCCAGTTCCTTGCAGTAATTATGAATAATTTCAGCTTTATTACATACAGTTGCTCCCTAAATCTTCGAGATGCTTCTCCCCATGCTCCCCTCAGACACTTGGGCAAGAAGATGTGCAATAACATTGCCCTTGCTGGATAAATGCATGAGGGTTATTTTTAGTGTGATGGGAGGCCCACAAGATTAATAAACATTCATCATCCATTTCCTCCAAATTCTTGCTCTCTGTCTTTCTCTATCGCATTCTCTCTCTCTCTCTCTCTCTCTCTCTCTCTCTCTCTCTCTCTTGCACTCTGTTTTCCGCTCTGTCTTCTCCTTTAGGACAGTGAGAGCTTTCTATCACAGTTTCTAAACACCATCCATGAAAGAGGAATGGAATAAACGGTGCCAATCATATTTTATCCCTCATCCTCTCACACAGTAAAATTCAATAAAAATAAAATAAAAAATGATACTGGATAGCAGTAGGGTTCAATCCCAGGACTGTTTGGAGATCATTTTGGTAATGATGTCTTGATTTGGCCCTGAAGCGCATATGCTGATAACCTTCCCTTTTCAACATGACGAGGTCACAGAGGTCACGGTCGCTGCAGTCCTACTTGAACAACTAGCTTCCACGTCGTAACTCATTCTGGCCGATAACTGCCGTCTGATCATCTTGTAAAGTGACCAAACCCATTTGGTTTTTTTATATGGATGTTTATGGGTGGGTAAATCTGAAATCAATGTTACATGCCACAATAATAGGCTGGCGTGCAATGAAGTGTAAAGTAATACAGACAGTACTGATTATTTCACAGACAAAGTGTATTATACAGATAGATATTTGATATCTTGTTGATATGTGACTAAACAAAATTATTTTGCATGAATTTTCCAATTAATTAATTATTATTTCCCATTTATTTAATAGATTACACTAAAAAATTGTAAATGGAAATACATTAGAGCTGATGTTGTTGTTTTTTTTTATTTTTTTTATTTTTTTTAGAAATTAATACTTGTATTCAGCAAGGATGTGTCAGTGAAGACATTTATATTATTACAAAAGTTTCTATTTCAAATAAATGCTGTTCTTTTGACCGTTCGAAGAATCCTGGGGGAAAAAATTGTCACGGTTTCCACAGAAATATTAACCAGCAGAACTGTTTTCAACATTGATAATAATACGAAATGTTTTTTTTACGAAATGTTGCAGCAAATTAGCATATTAGAATGATTTCTGAAGGATCATGTGACACTGATGATGCTGAAAATGCAGTTTTGCTAACACGGGGATAAATGGTAAAACTACATTTAAAATAGAAAAGTGCTATTTTACATTGTAATAATATTTCACAATATTTCTGTTGTTACTGTATTTTTAAATCAAATAAATGCAGCCTTTGAGCATAATAGACTTATTTCAAAAACATTAAAATTGACCTGTAGTGTAACTAAAAATATTGTCAATAGAAATTTCCAAAAGACATATTCATGCAGTATTGTTACTATAAACTTTTGAGATGTTTACACCCAGAAATCACAATTTAAAATGGTTTACCATGTGCATGATGCGAATTAAAATTATATGTTAATGCTTATGCATACTCTTGCAAATGTTTTGAACTCCTCAGAGAAACTTTCCGTCCACTTTTGTGTACTTGTGTACGCAAAACATTTGTGAGAGAACGCGAAAGAATTGACAAATAAATGTTCCTGCCATTTCATATTTATGTCATTATGTTATGTAGATAAATACTGATGTTGTCCATGGGTGTGTTTGAGGCTGAAGTTTCATAATATGACTATTCAGATTTTGGTACTGTCCTGATCATTGTTTCATCATTCAGCAGAATGAATGAATTGGTTATGGATGATAAAAATGAAAACACAAATTCTTTCCAGGGTCTAACAATATTAGGAGTGACCATGAAACTCGTCCTGTAACAGCAAAATTAAATACATCACAATGTCTATTTTATAAAGCGACATCACACCTAAATCTCAGGAGAAAATCCTCTCTTACACAAACACAAAACATTACTTTTTTGCGGACAAATGTTGCCAGGCCTCGCAAAATGTGCATTGCATGCTGCATGCGGAAGATTATTTCGCCCCATTCCAAACAATCAGTTATTTCCAATAAAGGTTATTCAATATTTTCAGCTTGGCAATGATTAAAATAAATGACATCACAAACTCCAAAATCAGGCCATTCTGACAGGCCCTAATAATACTGAATTATGGTGATATTTCAACATATTACTTTGAGTGAAATAATGTATTAATGTGTCTTCTGCATGTGTGTTTGATGACAGGCAGAGGGACCCTGAGGGAGTGCGAGAGTCCACGGCCCGACACACACTGAGATAGATTGCTCACACTCCAGTGACTGTTATTCATTGGTCAGAGGTTGGGAAGAAGCACTGTGATGGTACCACAGTACAGTTATGGTTTAAATGGTAATAATACCACATGCTAGTACTTGTGGTATATGGGCAGTTGACATGGCATGTAGCTTCTCTTATATTTTCATTATTTGGTTGGAAACGAAACAATTAAAAAAAAAAAATTAATGCTGGCAAAGCAAAATTTTCAGCATCATTACCCAGTCTTCAGATGATCCTTCAGAAATCATTCTAATATGCTGATTTGCTGCTCAGGAAACATTTCTGATTATCAGAGTTGAAAACAGCTGTGCAGCTTAATATTTTAGGACACTTTTATATATTGGAAATGGAAATATTTCGTAACATTTACTCTCACTTTTGATCAGTTTAGTGCATCCTTACTGAATAAAACCACTACATGTTCATTTGTCAACTACCCATATACATATACCATGGTACTGAATGATTACCGGATCGATGTACTATGGTACTTTTGGTACTTTTAAGCAATTCTGTTGTCTTGTAAATAATCATCAAGGTCTCTTCTACTGAACTCTGTTCTACTACTACAAGACCTATTTTAATCTACAGAGCATCACAAGACAAACTACACTACTCTATTGACTTTAAAAAAGCCCGAACCTGTAAACGTGTCTACAGACGTGGATGGAGCCGGAGTCTGGGGTTCTGTGATTGGTTGGACTGACTCTGTGCTGGTTGGTGTTGAGTCTGTGGGTGGTGTTTTGGATGTAGTTATAGACATTGGTACAGTGGCTGGGTCAAGCGTAACTGCTAGTGTTGACACTGAGGATAAAAAACAACATTACATCCTTTTGAGATCAAATGTTTCTGGCAAATGGTAATTTAAAAAAAAAATCAAAATGGCACCAAGTCATTGTCTTTTTCAGGTCTTGGACATGGCTCTGACACCAACTTGCGATGTTGAATATCTGAGTAAAAGCATAATTTTTGGTTTCCGACAACATACTATACCCTATTTAGCCAAACTTCTTATTTAAAAATTGACCGTTCGCAAAGACCCGCCCCCCTTAGTTACTGTCGCTATATCTGACAAGCTGCCGTCACCATGTTCTCATGCAGTGAAAAATACATGGCGGAGCAGAGAGGAGACTTCCAGGTTACTTTTCGGTTACTTTGGATATTAAACATATTAAACACATTCAAATTTGGTCATTTTTTAAAAGTAAATTTAAACAATAAATACCGTTTTGTGGCTCTTTAATGTGTCGTGACAGATCGCTGTAGACTAGAGCATCAGTGATTCGATCTTCATGAATGAACATAAGAAAAAATTTTGTTTTAACCGCGGAAAGGCGTCAGTATATTCTGTTTTTCAAGTGCAAATCCCCCCATGCTAATCTACTAACTCTTCTGACTGCTTTGTCCGACAAAATGAAGTATGATTGGTCAGATCACCTGTCAATCAAGCTCCCTGCGAGGGGTCAATTCCACAACCGAAAGGGTCAGAAAAAAGGTGTACAGACTAGAGATGAAGTGAGTAGTATTCAGCTGGTCATGTGATCTCATTATGGTATAGTAAAACAGCTTTTATGCAGCAGATATGAGTAAAATATCATGCGAGTCTAAAATCATTTAAAACATTTTACCATTCTTTAGATTCAAACGTCAGTGATATCTGTGTCACTAGGGTCACTAAAAACGGGGAACACTTCACCTTTGAACTAAAAGAAAAAACATATAGTGCACCTTTAAAGGGATACTCCACTTTTTTGGGGGAAATAGCCTCATTTTACAACTCCCCCACAGTTAAACTGTTGAGTTTTACCTTATTTGAATCCATTCAGCCGATCTCCAGTTCTGGCAGTACCACTTTCAGTATAGCTTAGCATACATCATTGAAGTGCACTAGACAATTAGCATTTCCCCCCAAAAAATGATCAAAGTGTTTCGATATAGGTGCCCTTTAATGCACGATGTAACAACAGAAGAGTTAAGTTTTAAATAGGAAAAATATCAAAACACTTTGGTAATTTTTTTTTCTGAGAAATGCAAATGGTCTTGTGCACTTCAATGATGTATGCTAAGCTATGCTAAAAGTGGTAGTGCCAGAACCGGAGATCGGCTGAATGAATTCAAAAAAGGTAAAACTCAACAGTTTAACTCTGGGGGAGTTGTAAAATGAGCGTATTTCCAAAAAAAAGTGGAGTATCCCTTTATCCCATCTGACTCTGTATTCCTCATGAGATCAGTCATCACCTCAGATTTCCAACAAAACAGTATTAAACCACCACAAATGGGCAGAACTGCACTGAAATCTCCCATAACCTTGAGCAGACCCTCATACATCACAAGTCAGCATTAGAATGCTCGCGTCTTACATCACATGAAACATTTATGAAGTAGAAAACTGTGGAAAAATGCATCACGCCATCAGAGTTCACAGTGACCGTTAAGGGACGGATCATAAGCGACGTCTCGTTAATGACGTGAAATAAAGAGGCCAAAAAGAGTGATGGCAGCAGGGGCGAAAACATGAAAACAACAGTCAGCGTATTCCGTTAGCATGCCACTTACTGCCAGACGTTCCCGACGCCTCACCTGCAAACACAGAGAGAGGAAGAGAACACAAATGAGAGAGTTTTACGCCTTTATTTCTTAAAAACACTCATGTGGGTTTATTTTATTATTTCTCTACCACTCTGGAGCACATCTGAGATTAAAAGAAATACAGAAGCCTGCCTCGCTTTTGCAGGCAGTGAGCGTACAGTAGCCATGAACTGTAAATGTGATACTATTCAATATACGCAATCTTCTTTTTATTGCGAAGTTACTTTGAAAGCTTCGTGCTATTCTACTTTCCTCAGCAAGTGAGGATGCCCCAGTTTTCTACACTGTACGTAAATCATGTGTTCTTCTGAGAGGTGTGTGCGCGTGTCTGAACACAGCAGGTGCACGATTCTTACAAATGTTCGGGGAGCCGTTGGGTGTGGGCAGGTAGGAGCCGGGCTTCCAGGACTTGGCTTTGAAACCTCTCTCACAGGCCGAACAGTCTTGTCCAGTGGTGTTGTGCTCGCAGTCGCACTGAAGGGTCCCGTCACGGAGGGAGCACTGACCGGCGTGGAGGTTACACTTACACCTGTGAAAACAGGGAACAGCGGACAATTAGCACGCTTGTTACATCGCAGCCACAGGCAAGGGCGAAAGCTCCACCGCCGAGGACGATTCCCACCTTTTATAAGTTAGGGTCACCCGAGGTAGCTCATTAGCTCACCTACTCGGCTCAAGAAATCGGCTAGGCTAATTAGTGGAGCCATGGCGCACGGCTAAAAACAGGAGCTGTAGGGAATATTGTGGATTCTACAGATCTTCAGATCATGGCTGATGTATAGTTAAAGAGAGGGGTTTTGGGGCCAATGAGATTTCACTGTGGGCGGGGCTATCCAGTAAAAAAGTGGTTTTGTAGCTTATTACGACCAGTTTGGACAAAATGTCAGATTTAAGACAGTGATTTTATTGCGGGAGGTCAGCAGGTTGCTGTCTGCTTGTTTTCTAGTAAATATTTAACATAACTCGCAGGGCCGTTTGAAGGAATTTGAGGGCAAAATGGACACGAACAGATCTGAGGCTTCCTTATCCCGTCAAAAAAACATATTACAGTATGTAACCATGTTTCGTCCATTTGAAAAAAAAAATGTTCGTTAGCCATCAGCATTTGCCGTCAGGCAGGTTGCTAATAGAAACGTATATTTTTGTGTGCAATTTAGTGTAATTTATCACTTTACCACTATCTTGTTTTTTCTTATCCTCCTCTTCCTTTCTGTTCTTTCTTTTCTGGCTTTCAGAAGCATGATTCAGCTTCATGATGACTGCCGAGGAGGTTTGTATTTTGCGGCAGCAGAGATCACGTGGTTGGTTGTCAGAGACTACTGAGAGGGGCCCCCTAGAGGAGGATTCCAATAAGAGTGTCATTGCACTTTACTACATTGACTATCAAAGGGGCGCTCAGACAGTTTGTCATTGCATTTTATTCTTAACCAGTCGTTGTCTTGGGGTCCCAAGCAATTGCTTGGTTTGCTTGCCTTGACGCGACGGGCCTGATTACTCAAGAAGCAAAATGACATAAGATAACAAGTTTGTTTTCTGAAAAATATATCAAAATGAAGTGAGTTTACTTTAAACAGGGGACAATGTCAGCCAAGGAGGTAAGAAATATAAACTTGTTTTTAATTTGAATTGTTTATTTTTCAACCCCATTTGGCAGATATATACTGTATATATATATATATATATATATATATATATATATAGCACCAACAAAGAGTTAATTTAAATAAAGCTGAAATAAAATAAATATTAGATGATTTTTTTTTCTTAATTTATCATTGAAGTTTAATAACTAAATCACTCAAACTAAAATAATAAAAATAATTTAAACTAGGGCTGTGCAAAAATTAATTGCGATTAATCGCATCCAAAATAAAAGTCTGTGTTTACATAATACATTTGTGTGTGCTGTATATAATTATTTTGTATATATAAATACCTATGCATGAATGTATATATTTAAGAATTATTTGCACTTAAATTCTGTATATATAAATAAATACATAATCTATATAAATATTTTATATATGAATAACACATTTTCTTAAATATGTACATGCATGTGTGTGTATTTATATATACAAAATAATTATATACAGCACACACAAATATATTATGCAAACACAGACTTTTATTTTGGATGCGATTAATCGCAATTAATTTTTGCACAGCCCTAATATAAACCTAAATAGACAGTAAAAATACTGCTTAAAATGAAAACTATTTAATAATATATACATAAAACAAAAAAGAAAAAAAAAACACTGGTGTAGTAAGAAAAGATACAATCTATGAAAACAAGAGTTGCTTTTTAAAGCTACACTGTGTGATTTTTACCCCCATCTAGCGGTGAAAAGGTATATGACCATCCAGTGATATTCAATTCTGATTTAGTTTTAACTCCTACGGTGGCCAATGTAGTCCAAGATTTACATGGCTTCCAGTTCGACCTCGTCCATGAGTGTTAACTCAAACGTAAACACGAAAGGCGAAGCTTGAATTAACGGGTATGTCCCTCTTTGGCTAATGTACATTCAAGATGGAGGGCAACATGGCGACCAACATTACAACCCCTTACCCGTATGTATTTTCAATGGCATATTATACACTCACGAGAATACTTTATTACTTGAACGAAGTAAATATACATTAATGAGCACATATATTTTTGAAAGAACTAAGTGTTTTTTAGCTAAGAATAAACTAAAAGAGTTACACAGTGTAGTTTTAAGGATTTTTAGATAACTTTCCTGGAAAACAAGTCATTTTTTTATGGTGTGTGGTCCTGAAAACTTAGTGTGATTATTAATTGATTATTAGTGTGATATTTAAGTCTGTTTTTGTTACTTTGCTAGATGATTTGCTAGATGTTTCATCATTATCATCTCTTGACTCGTGTTTGTAAGCACTATAGAGGCTGTTTGTGTTTGTTGCAGATGCGGGTGAGTTTGATTCTTTTTGTCTCTGATGTTGGAGATAAAACTCTGGGATCTGTGGGGACAGTAAACAGCTTCCGCCTGCTCTACTCCAAATATAGCAGCCATCTACTGGGGGGAAGGGAATACCTCGAGAAAGATGGAACGAACAAACGAGAGAGAGAGAGAGAGAGAGGGTGAGTAATGATTATCGCTAGTAATGAGAATAAATGGGGGATATTGAGATGGTCTTGCCTTGTCTCTCCTTATCGGTGGCTTTATAAGAAAAATCTGCAGTGCTCCACAAAATGCTGCTTCCCTCCTTTGACTTTATGAGGAATGCTCTGGCTATCTGACAGCCAAGTTTAAGGATAGTTGAGATTAAAGGTCTGGGGAGGAAAGCAGGTTAGTATGGAAATGATGACTTTTGCAATTACAATCTCTCTAATCAAATGAGTGTGTAAATCCCAATGCATCGGATTTTTTTTCATCCTCACTAGAGCGAACAGCAATCCATTTGCATGAAATATTTATGAAGCTGACCTATATATTTCCATGCGGACACCCCATAACCAAACCTTGTATTGCCGTATAATGAGGTCTACCTCGCCCCCTGAAGTTTCCCATGAAGAAAGTGATGTCTTATGCCTCGCTAAACCTATTTCTTGTTTGCATGTTTTAACGTTTTTTTCCCAATTTAAGCATGAATGAAATGAAACTGTATACGTAATCTTAATTTAACACCAGTAAAATTATATATCTTAAACCTAACCTGTCTGTTTCCACACCCTCTCGTTCACTACACCTCAAACATTTTACTTAATTTCATTCACTTTAATTAGGTCTTCCTTTGAAAGCCTGAGGAAACAGTTAGACTTCTACCACCCTCTTGAGGCCTTTAAGCCGTAATTAAAACCCAGTGTCAATTACACACTCATTCATTTGACTGTTTCTCCAAGAGCAAGTGCCTATCACGCTCTTATCATGACAAATCAATCAGCGGCGGACCACTTGGTTTCGGAGATCCTCGCCTTTAGGGAGACCTCTCTACTTTTGAGAGACGGCGCAGGATCTCAGACGAACTTTAATCAATTAAAGCACGGCAGGGTCTCATATCAATTTCTGACCAAATCCAGTGTGTGGGCTTTACAATCCTCTTATGTACAGATTGAAATAGGACTCACCCTGTGAGGAGCGATGAGGAACGGATGAGAACGAGTCTTTGTATAATGTAGAGCACCACGAGCAGATATAGATGTGTTCTGAAGAGCGTCTTTCTTGCTCCATGTGTTTATTTTGCTTGGGTTGCATATTTGGATGTTGATTCATCTATGGGCACTTTTATGTTGAGGTTTTTTATTTATTTATGAAAGTCACATTTAAACTGTCTTGGAAACTTTTTACTGTCTCATCGTATGCACCAGTGTTCTGGGGTCAGTAAGATTTTCTTTTTTTTTATATAATAATAATGTTTTTTTTATTAATTAGTACTGTTATTCAATGATACTGAAGACTAATATTTACCAAACTTTTATATACACCAAACTTTTAACCGTAGTGTATTTTTTGCTATTTTTTACCTTCATTCTGTAGATTTAGTTTTACTCTTGCCAGTACCAGACGTTCCATCATAAAAATATTGCATTTAAAAAATGTAGATTCAATCATAATTGAATTTGTACATTTCACTACTGAAATTTATTTAAATCATTGTACAACCCTCAGCTACTACATTATTTTAACCACATAGTTTTATATATATATATAGTTTGCAGCTTCAGAGAAAGTGTGATGTGTCAAGAAAAATCTAAGTAAATAATATAACTATTACTTTTATTATGTTTTATCATTTCCAATTGAGGTTTAATTTTGTCAAATTATGCAAAAGTGTGAAAATATAATTGTGTGTAATTGTATTTTGTATTTTTGTAAATACAATGTTAGTTTTTGCACAAAAAAAGTATTCTCGTCGCTTGATAAACTTAAGGTTGAACCACTGTAGTCACTTGGACTATTTTCGCCCACTTGGACGATGTCTTTAATAGCTTTTGGGCTGGCCAGTTTCGATCCCTTAAGAAGCCTATGAAGGAGTGATCCAGCTCTCAGATTTAATCAAAAATATCTTAATTTTTTGTTCCGAAGGTTAACGAAAGTCTTACGAACAACATGAGGGTGAGTAATTACCTACAGTATTTTCATTTTGGGGTGAACTAACCCTTTAACACATGAATGAAAGTGTTCTTAGTCAAAGCAACACCTATTAAAGGTGTATTCAGCACACACGTGTTAAATCAGGACTTGCATCTCAAACAAAGCCAGATGATTCTGCAGGAATCTAACATGCCGCGAAAAAAAAAAAAAAAATCAGCGCTTGAAGTGATTCAAGCCCTTGGCAAAAACAACCCTAAAAAGAAATCTGTCTGGTTTGACAGCTGAATAAATGCCTGCTGGCGTTTTGTAAATGTGCATGGATAGTGAGTGTGAAAACTGCAAGCGATACGGACACTAGCTTGCAGATTGGTATGCATTCCTCATCATCATGAATATTCTAAATTATTGACACATCACCAAAAAAAAAAAGCCAAGTAGACAGGAAAGTCTTGTGATTAAAAACCAAGGACAGAAGAAATCATTTGTGATGCTGTTAAGGACAGAGAGGGCAAGGCCATTTTGCTCTTATTAAAACGCTGGCATTATAGGGTGGATGAAACGGCCCGTGTGCATTTTTAGCGCAGACTGCAGCAAACCAGGCAACCTCTCTGCAGCTCGCAGGAGAACAGCAGGAGGCTTCCTGGGTCTCGGTAGGGAGGCGAAGTGCAGGCATCTTTTTCTGGGGTGAAACTGTGTCAATCCAGGGCAGCTATATCCAGACACCACAGGGCTGGGACCCCACTGCTCGGGACAGGAACAGATCTCATGGGCACGCTTGCTGCCAGGCTCTGCTGTTGGGATAGGATCAAACCCCTATCTGGCCATCTGTGACTGGAGAATCAGGAGTGTGTGATAAACATATGGCCCTTAATGCTCCGGCAAAACAGAGGAGCTAAAGGAGAGCACCAGTAACTAGTCAGCTGTAGTGGATTCTTCTCAAAGCTTCAGGCCCCGTCCACACTACTGCATTTTCGTTTAAAAACGGAGGCCTTTTGCTACGTTTGCACCTCCCGTCCAGACTAAAACGGGAAAAACGAAGACCTAAAACGGAGGAGTTTAGAAACGCTGCAGCTCTGTTTTGCATTTTGAATCTCCGGAGGGCGTTTTAGTGAAGACGGGACAAACCGGAGGACTTTAGAAACGATGACGTGGAGGCTCACGCTCGGCGCTATGATTGGGTGTCATCAGTCATGACGTGTCCTTCCCTGATTCGTCAGCCATTGTTTACACCGGCACGCGCATGCCCAGTGTTGGTGAATGGTCATGTGATCCGTGTTTTCAGTCATTTTAATGTGGACAGAGATCAATTCTAATACGCAGATAAAACGCTGGTGTGGACGGAGATTGTATTCGTTTTATTTCTCCGTTTTTAAACGAAAAAAGCAGTAGTGTGAGCGGGGCCTCAGACTTTGAGCTACAAGTTGCGTTGGAAAGGCAATGTAGCCTTCACCTTCAATGTGGATGTGTAAACATCAAATAATTAGGGACTTTCAGTTGCATTTCTGGGTTAATTGTTGATCTAGGTTCAGTTTCACACCCTAATTTAATTGGAAAGAAGGGAATAGCTGACTAGTAGTGCACAGAATCATACACACAAATATAAACATAGATGATGATGATGAATCTGGTGAAATTAAATTCACCGAAAACATCCCTTGTACTATATCTTTATCCTAAGTTTTTTGTCACTGGATTCATTGGATTTTCAAGTAATTTGATTTTTATTTATTATTCAGGTCTTGCTGATGATAAAAGAAAAATCCCTGTGCTGTCTTGTGTTTTGTAGGACTTATATTCTTAGGCCGTGTGTCCAGTAGCGGTTCTAGGCACGGGCGAACCGGGCAGTCGCCCGGGGCGGCATCTCTTCATGTCACATGGGGGGCGGCACGAGCAGTTAAAAAAAAATCCTCTGTCCCGCGAAGGTTTTCTATTTTTTATCATTTCAATTCAATTATTGGCAATGGCGCCCCTGCTTGCGGAGAAGGTGCCGTGCACAGAAGCGATGTCAAGGGGGTCTCTTGATTAGTTCACGTATCGCGTCTTTTGCGCGCTTGAGGTCGTTATTTCAAATAGGCGATTAGGCGCACGGAAAGCGCGCTCATTACGCGCTCGCGGGAGGCGCGCTCATAATCTTTTCAGTATGGGAGTGCACGTGCACCCAAACACTTGGGTTTTCACTTCTTCCAAACACTCGAAGGAGGTCTCGCCCTGGGTGTAATTCAAAGTAGAACCGCCACTGCGTGTGTCCACCAAAGCGTTTTTATCCAGCTGAAAACGTTAGACGCTCTGCTGAAGACGCCGTGCTTTGGGCGCTTGAGAGCGTTTTGGCAGCGCAGCGTTTTTTCCGTTGAGACGTTTCGTTGCTATGATACAGAATATCCGCAACACAGTTTGAATGTTGTGACAGTTGGTCAGTGTGGTTTAGTCCCGCCCCTCCTCCACTGTGATTGGACGGCTGAGTAAAAAGTGACAGTGATGAGCGCTGCGTTTTATCCAAAGTTGAACATTTTTCAACTCTCGGCGACCAGTAAAAAACGCTGAGCACTCGACGCTTCAGCATGAAAAAAACGCTCAGCGCCTCGTTACGCTCATGGTGTTTAAAAAACGCAGCGCTCCCATTGAAAACAATTGAAAACATACACCATGCGCGTGGAAAAACGCTTTGGTGGACACACGGCCTTAGTTCCCCATAGAGTGCCGAAGTTATGTTGTAACTTTGTAGGGAAACTCGGAAGTTAGCGGCGCATGGGTTCCCTCGATTGAAAAGCTATACATTTCCTCCATGGACTTTTGGAAGAAATAAGATAAAAATAAGATCTGTATTCAACAAAGAGTTGTGACCCTTAAACATTTCACAAATTGGGGGAATTATGCTCCCCATTGCCCCATTATATGTGTTCTGCATTGAGTGTGTTCTATGGTCTCATCCCTTCCTGACTGTGTGTGTTCTGGTTTATGGTAGTGTTTTTTGTTTTAACAAAAAAAAAAAAAATCCCCATTATACCCAGTTCAAATTGAAATCTGAGTCAAATTGACCCTGAGGGAATCTGTGAAGAGAGAAAGTTAAAGAAAAAAAAATGAAAACAATCGAGAGCTCTAGTTTAAATAAAAAGTGGTACAATCTGTAAAGAAAATAATAATAATATCACATGAACATGTTTATAATTCTACTGAATGTAATTCTCTGCCTGTAGCCCCCTTCTGACGTGAGTTTAAACCTAGCTGCCATTGCTTAGGTAATGAGATTTTGGATAAATCTGCACAAATAAAGACAAGTGTGACGCAATTCTCTCCAGGGTGTCGTTGAGAAACATTTATAGAATACCATTATGAGCATTTATGCTTTTATGGGACGCGGCGGCTAGATTTCTTTCAAGATTTGTTTAAAAGCGGCAAAGTCTGGTGCAAATAACGGGAGCTCGGCGCACTGATGAATAAATAGCAGTGGCACTAAACAAACACAGATAGACAGATAAAAGGCTGCCGCTGGAGTCCGTTACTCTGAAGCAGCTGGAAGCTGCTGTTAATGGGAGCTTGATTTATTTTTCCCACACTCCTCTCTCACGAGACACCCTTACTATTTATTCTCATTTGCACAGAAGCAGGCTCATCATGAGGCACTTACGCAAACAAAAACGGATGGAGGAAAGACGAGGACAATCGGTGCCCGGAGAATCACCTCGGGCCGGCCTAGATTGGTCATTATCACTAGTACCCGACTGACTTATTACCTCCATTTTGAAGAGGACTGGAGGAGAATGTGGAGAACGAGTGGCCATTAGTGAACGGTAATGTGTGAACGTCTCCAAGTAGGCTGCCCGGCCCACGAACTTGGGCTGTTTGAGAAAATGACCCGCTTTGTTAACAAGCTCAACGTCTTGAGCCTCATACACCTTATATTAGCCATGTTATTTCCCTCCCCATCCTTTATGGATGAGAGGTACAAATTGAACATGACAGCTCTCCAAAAATAAGATTCAACTCAGTTTACACGGTGTTCAGGCAGCGGATATTGATTTATAAGAATCGCTCGCTATAGACTGATGTGGGTAATTGGCTTCAAACGCTCTTTTCTCTTCCTCAGCCTAATCCTAAAAGCTGTACCCTCCACTAACGATGCTAGATTCAGACTCCTCCGGTGGTGCGCCTCTCGCTGAACTTCCTCGCCTGTTTTCATATTCCTTATTATCGGCTCTCCAGCCATTTTTGAAGTATAGCAGCTAAAAAAAAAGGTCAGCCCCACAATAGTGGATCAGTCATGGGGAGTTCATTTCTGAATGTCGTCTTTTATTTTTCTCTGCCTTTTTATTTCTTTCCTAGCCTGTGCCAAGGGAGCGGCTAATGAAAAATGCCCCGCTGTTTCCTCCCAATGCCTGAGAGAGCTGCCCACACAATGGTATCGCTGAAGGGAGGCGGCAGGCCAGAGACCTCTCCTCCACAGCCCCGTTCCCCATCCTCCAGCGTAGAGGATTTGCAGTTAAAAGGTTGGAGAGACATGGGAGAGAGAGCGCTCCCCATGAGGCGAAAGGCCCTTCCTGTACCACAGCTACTGATTCGCAGACGACCTTGAAAGCTTTGGCACCGGCAGCTCCTGTAAATTATTCACACAGGATGCAGAAAAGGGCTTCTTTTGCACTCCCGCTCGAAAGGGCGGAAGCCCAAAGCAAGCACCGCTGCCTCTCACGTGGAAGACACGGATTAATGGCACGGAGACGGTGAGGATAGTAGACGAAGAGAGAGACGGAGAGTGGTCCTGTGCACATCAAAAAAAGTTGAAGGAGGGAAAGAATAAGGGAGGTCCCTTCATAATTAATTTCTCCCCCCCACGGAAACATCGCGATGGGGCCAATTATTGCCAGAATGCGACTCCATCGCCTGCTGCGCCGCGTCACTGTCCGCAGAGCTCTATCCTTTAGGCATCCTCATGATGCTGAGTACAGCGAGATGGGCACACAGTTGTCTTCCAAGCTGCTCGGTATTTCAAAACTAATTCTCTGCGATCTGTCCTTTCATAAAATTTCATTTCTGTGGAGGTCAACCTCTGTTAGTGACAGCACTTTAAAGTAGTAAAAAATGGCTTTCTACGAAAAAAAATGACTATCAAGTCAAATGTTTTTTTAAACGTATTTATAATATGGCCATTTCCATTTTGCATCCTGATATGATGTTGTACTTAACTCTTTTCCTGTCAACGCTTTTTTGAAAAAGGTTGCAAGCCAGCGCCAGCATATTTGATCATTTTCACAAAATTGTTGTGGCCCCCAGAATATTTTGTTGTATGAATATCTGAACACGCAATATATGAAACAAAAGAAAAGACTCTCAGCTAAAAAACAAACAAACAAAAAAACATTTATTTTAGCGTCATGCATTTTTTTTTTAATCAATAGTCAATTAGGTTTAATGTGGGCATATTTCATAAAAAACGTAACATTTTGAGTAAAATCTCATTTTTTGTCAAAGGATCAAATTCAAATTGATGATCAAAACATAGATGCTTCACAGTCCCATAGCTCGTCCTGGGTCAACATTTCACTCTGTAACATTAGGTAGTTTTGATTTATATGCTGTTTAATGTTGATGATCGTGTTATTTTACATATGCATCTTCTTACATAGGCTATGGCTTGCTTCTGCTTCTTCTTCGCATGTTTTTTCTTTCTTCGCATGTTTTGCTCTATCAGAAAATGTGTATTAGCAACAACCCCTACCGTATAACAGTGAAAGCACGGAAAGACGGACATTTCAATGGCGGAAAATTTAAAAACACAGGTACTTAAAGTTACAAATACAAATTTTAGTGTACAGAAGGTGGATGCAGTGTAAAGTGTATTTTTTCACTATAGATGTGTGAATCTTAAAATTAGAGTCATCAGAAATCGCTCTTCCGCAGGTCATGGTGTTTATGATGTTATGTGTGGGCAAAGAAAAGCATTTAATGAAGCACATGTTTTGGTGCAGGAGGGATTGGGCCAGTTGACTGAACAGGAACGTCCCGCTGTGATGGCGTTGCACTAGATACAGTCCTCATACAGAATGGCCAGATGAAATTTTAATGAGCGATGGCGTTCTGATGAAAAATTCTGTTTGCCTTCCTGGGACACCCCCCTTTTATTCTGCGCCCCTAGGGTGGGGATCTGGGCAGCGGAGATATTTACGCCCGCGGTGCTTGCTTTCAGGGAGGCCGAACGGCCATAATAGAATTTCAAAGATCCCCTTGTGAATGACAAACCGAGGGAGGACAGTTTTCTGTTGTTCCCTCTTTCCCTTTGCTTGTGCTTTCTGCCTCCTTGATAACCTTTTAAAAATTGTGGCGTAAACGTAGTATCTTACACTGTAGGGAAATCCTGTCAAATTGACAGTAAAATGTTCAAGAAATTCAGTATACTAAATATTTGAAAACATTTAATAGGGAATTTTAATTTCTGTCTAACTGAACATATTAGGCAGAAAAAGGGAAAAATGCTTTTAATGTAAGGTCAGGAGTAATTTTTTATTCTTTCCCCTTTATAGACATAACAATCTGTCGTTTGAAGACGTTGTTTCATCTTTGTCTTAATGAGGTAAATACCTGAGCATTACACTATGAACCTTTTGTCAAAGACACAAACACACTTTCATGTCATGTTCGTGCTTGGAGTCTAACAAGATACACAGCATAATTAGATTGTGACATTGTTTCTGAAAGTTTATTATTATGTATTTCAGAGTACACATGAATGCATTTTAGTTAGGACTGTCAAAGTTAAAGCTGCAGTCTGTACTTTTTCCTCTTTGACGCCATCTCTGTTAGAAATCTGCAATTGCAGCTATTCGTGGAATTATCAACTTTACTTGGGTTGTGCCTTGGGATGGCACAGCGTGGATGAACACAATGTTTGAGGAGAATGTGCGGCTGTCCGAATGGATACTGGCATTCGGAATCACAGATTCTACTTTTTGGAAGTATGACCAACATAAAAATTTTCTCCAGATAATGTCATCTGAACAAGTAAGGAACATCCAACTTGCATTGAATTGTATTCCACAAAAAAAGCATTGCAGTAAATTGTGCTGATTAAATCATATCACGTCAAACCGTGCAAATGATACTTTTTGAGAATTATACTGTTCTCAAATTGGTAATGTTAATAACATCAGCACTGCGAAAATTAATTTAAACGTGGGGTAGGTAGAAATTTCTAAAAAAAAACTTTTTCCCAAATTTGTTTAAACTGTCTATATATACCAATAGATAATTAAAATGTAAGTACTCTGAAAAAGATTCACTGTAAAAAAAATATATATATTTTCAAGATTTGTTATCACAACATTTCTTCTTTTGTCAAATCAACTTAAATAATTTATTTAGTTGAAAACTCATTATTTTGAGTTTCTGATGATTAAATCAATCTCCATTCTATTATCTCACTTTTTCCAGTTCAATCAACTTAAAATTTTAAGGCAACCAGGTTACTTACTTTTTAAGTTAAACCAATAATATTTTTTTTACGGTGTGTAGTCCTCTCAATACAAATCCACTTTTAATTGCCAAACCTAATAAGTTTAAGCCTTTTATTTCATGTTATCAAATGAAAACAGTGTTAGATTGTGATCCCATTGATTTTAATTGACTGACTTTGCCAATTGCAGATTTTCTTTTTTTGTGGAGTAAAATTTGAGGGACACTTATGGAGAAAATTTCAGAAACAAAAGTTCAAAAAGTGCAATTTTGTTCTGGCTGTTAATGGCTAATTTTATTAGACGTATTCTGAACGTTGTTTGGAGAGGTGCACATCTGAGGGGGTTTTCGATTTTCATCCATCATAAAAAGTGATGGCTGGGCTCAGGGTAAAAGGCATGGGTTAATTTAATCATACACAGCCACGAGAGTGCATCATTAGTCATATAATACCCACTTCTGTGCGGAAAGATGGATGAAAACAGACTCTGGTGGATGGGTTAGCCAGATCAATGCATATGTAAACAGACAAGTATTGGGCCGCAAACTAGAATGAAAAAGAATGTCGGTTGATTCTTTGTGTTGGGTTATTGGATGGCTCTGGCTTGATCCAGCTCTCACATTCAGTGCGTTTGAATGCTGGCTTTGAAGGTGCCTTTTGATTGTCAGATATAGATGTCAATAGTTTGGGTGAAAAAAATCTTCAAATATCAAACTTATTTCAAAGCTTTCTTATATAGCTTTGATGCAAAATGCATCAACGTGTTTTATTTTCCTTTCACAAGTCTTGCCTTAGCCATGAAATTGCACTTACTTTAATCAAACTTCTCACCACCTGGGATTGTAGAAAACTCAGTAACATTCATTGTTGGATCGATATCGTTTAAAGGTGGAGTGGTTTTTGCTCCGGTACTAGCGCCAAATAGCAAAAATATTAAAAATGTCATTAATATTTGCAGCGCCTCAGCTTAATTCACTGAATTTTAACAGGTTTTAAATGCGATAAAATAGAGATTCCATTGCTATTCTATGAGGAATTTGTATTTAATTATAAGTTATTTTTCTTTTTGTTTTGCTGTTTGTTATGTAATCTCACCTCTGATTTTCTCAATAAAAAAAGTCATTGCCATTCTTTTCAGTTCAAACACACCACCGTTCTATGTAAATGAGGCTCATTACAGACTGTGGCTTTCTGCAATTAAAGTTGCCATTCTTCACGTGCTATCAGAAATCTCCTACTTCCCTCTTCTAAAGTTGTGATTACAAGCTTAGAAATCAGGTTTATTTTTGCCTATTTCTTAGGGAAATCTTATTAAAGCCAAACTGTATTGAAGCTACTTCATTTTGAATAAAATGTAACATCCCATTCATTGACAACAATATTAACATTCACAGTGCTATCTAGTCTGTGCTGACGATACTTGAATTTTGGTTGAATGCATGCAATTTTCGCTGTGTATGAATTCGGTTGTTCATATAAGTATGCACTACAAGACAAGACGATGTAGCTGTTGTGGAAAGTCACAGAAGCAATTGTTCTCCTCTCCCCTATGATTGATATTTATGGCACGCCCAGCTCAGGTATCAGTTTCCCAGTAAATATGACTTGAGAGGGCAATAATGTCCAAATACAAATATTCCGATAGCACATGAAGGCAGCATCTATCTATTTTCTAAATGCATATTATTGATCTGAACGATTCATATGCATGATACTTTTTTATTTTTTGACCTCGTAAGTTTGAATTAAACATCATAACTCGATCTTCCCGTGAAACGACAGACTTCTCTCTGTGTGCAGGACTTCTCCAATCATAGAGACTGTTTAAACCCCGCCCCTTTCTTACAGTCATCTCCATTCTCACATTTAGGTCCGCCTCCATCCAATCAAAATCCAATAGATAGAACCGGGTCCCCATCCAACTTTTTTATAATCCATTTCACTCAGATGTACGTCACATTAAAGAAGAAAGTATCTGTTGCGTCTCACATTTAACATTGTGCTAATTTAATTTAAAAGACATTTGTGTCCATTTTTATAGTTTATGACTGTAGTTATTACTTCAGTGATGTTTTCAAAAACAGGTTTATTGAACTTCCCATTACCTAGACAACCAATACTCCCGCCTCAAACTCACTCAAATGGTTGAGCCTTCCTGTGTCAATCTGTTTGGATGCTCAAACAGACTAGAGAGATGTCAATGCCGAACAACTCTGTTAGTAACTTGCGTTTTCCAACCACAGATAGCAATAAAGTTCTGTAGTGCAGCTGGTACAGGAGAAAGAATTACACAAATAGGTTTCAAATAGTAACTGTGTTTAAGATGCCTAAACGAGTGCGAGAGCAGCTAGCAATACTGTCACTTCCACCTGTCGTCCTCATCTGTCTCAGCACTACACTTCCCAGCATTCTGTCATCATCGTTGTCACCTGTGTGTCTTGTTAATCATCATATGTTTCACCTGTCTTCACTAATCAATGTTCATCAATCTCTGTATTTAGTTTTCTTCAGTTCAGTCTGGGTCGGTCGTCGTCGATGTGTGTTTTTGAAGTCCTGGAGTGGTTTCCCTTTGGTCCTGAAAGTTGAGTTTTGTAAATAAAGCAACTAAATTGAGGTCCCTTTGTCCTCGACTTCAGTAGCATGCACAAACTTGACAGCTACGTTCAGACTGCAGGTAAATGTGCCCCAAGTTTTTTTTTTTTTTTTTGGTGATTTCAGTGTGAACAGCAAAAACTACATTGAATGTGATCATTTGATTTGGGCCACTTCCGACCATATGTCATTTTAAATCTGATTC